CAGAAACGGAAGAGTTTTTTCAAAGGCTTTTCGGCGGTTTCAGACTGGTTTGCACAGCCTCCGCCTCAACCTTGATTAAATAGCCGAGGCAGCCACGCGCATCGCGCACCTCTTGCCACCAGACGACAAAACGGGCGCGCAAACCAAGGCGCCCACGTGCCTCGCCATCATGTCCGGCACACCTTTTTATGACTTGGGCTCGCCTTTTGATGGCACGCCTTTTTATGGATTGGGCATGCCTTTTGATGGCACGCCTTTTGATAGATTGGGCACACCTTTTGAGGGTGCGACTTTTTAAGGGTCCGACAAGACTCTGTAAACTGTCCCGACATGGGTTCGACAAGACTCTGTAAACTGTCCCGACATTGATTCCGGTTAGCTCCTTTATGGGTCCGACAAGACTCTGTAAACTGTCCCGACAACTGTCACAACATTGTCTACTACAACGGTCCGACATGACCCCATAAACTATCTTGTACAACGGTCCGACATGACCCCATAAACTGTCCTCTACAACGTTATGACACCACCATCCAGTGTCTTCACCAATGGTTTGACACGACCATACAGTGTCTCCTATCCTCTTTTATTTTTATGTATTTTCTTGTTTTGTAACTCTCTCCAAACTCAAGTTGGTTAGTTCCTATCCCCCTTGAGTTTGCGGGGGGCTGTTAAAATTCACCCACTATCACCTACCACACTTCACCTACTCTCCACCTACCACTACCACCTACCACACTTCACCTACTCTCCACCTACTCCCAAACACACTCCTATATAATAGGAATCCTTGTAATTGTAATATAGAACAACAACATATATCAATCAATAATACATAAATTTTTACACATGGTATAAAATTCGATCTATAAACAAGACCTTATCCCAACTATTTCAGGTTGTCAACCTGGCTGAATTTACACCATTTCAGCATGCCAATAGACGTTAAAATCTATGTTAACCCATGCACAGTACTTCACAAGAACATACAAAAACCACCCTCTAAAGTTTCCACTTTTGAAAGACCATATGACTACACACTTTCCGAAATAAATTAAAATATATTATCACGACTAAATAAAGAAACCAAAGGGAAAATATAATTTTTGCAAGGCCTTGCCAACAAGTATTTAAGCAATGATAATGAGTCGCGCCAAGAAAAAAAAAAAAAAAATCAACACCTTGCATCAAAGATAAATGCATGAAAACCAAGGGCCACAATACAATGAGAAATGAAACGTTAAAGGTGAAAGAAACATCAAATAAAGAAACACACTGACCTGAAACAAGAACTCACTGCATGACATCTCATGTGGCGTTCCCTGTACACCAAGATTGTTGCCAAGGCCTCCCAACAATGAACGGGCAGCTAATTTTGTTGACCAACACATTAAATAAAACACAGACAGCAATCAGGGATTAGGAAACATGTGTGCAAGACAAACTACAGCATAAAAGGTAAAACTAATTTCAATTTTAATTTGTGAGAATAGGGGTATTAGCCACAAATGCAGTTTATGCCACAGTCCAGGTCACACAAAGCATCCAAACATAAAGTTAACCCAACATCGACCACTAGACAGATGATCCAATCTGTACTATGCTGGTATGTTTCTGCATCCAATCACCCACATTAGCCACAGAGTAATGAAATGACATATCACATCCACATCATGTGAAGCAATTGTTTTCCCAAGATCAAAGAAGCCACATGAGTAAGCATGCAATCAGTTGAACTGAAGCATGCCCATGCTCATGTTCTGCAACTGATTCTGATGGGATGAATTTCAATAGACTACACAATGAGTTGTGGTGGCCTCTACTCTAGATTTCATGCTCTCAAGCAATTTCTATATTAGCTTGATTTCATCAATTTAGGCACACAACAGATCTCTACATACCGTTAAGCAAAGCTTATTAGGTCTATTGAATCTATAATCTTTGGTCGATATACACATCTTGCTAGGTTAATTAACAGTTCAGTTAGTCCCAAGAAGCATCAGGCAAAGCTTGAACAAGTAGAGCAGAGATGCTGAACTGGGGTAGAGACCAAGCTGAGCGTAACAATTTCAACAAAGAAAATATTTAATAGCTGAGTCCTAACCTTTGAACCAGTGGCCCCAATTACTAGAACCCAAAGAACAAACTTTCATGAACAAAAATATTTGAAGTACAATAGACTAAGAAATTAATTACTAGAACACTTGAGGAAATGAAATTAACTACCGATAACTGTCATACTAAATGTAATGTCAACTAACTCAAAAATACAAACCAGTCAGTCACCACTTCAAAAACTATAAAGCTCACATACCACGCAATGATTTGGAAGGGAAAGCTGCAGCCATCTTTGCACCTAAGTGCTGTGCCAATAAAACCAACAGTCCCCAATTTTCCCTGTCAAAGTGAAATAAATGCCAATTACATCAAATCTTCAATTTTTACGATGAGAAATACATTCATAAAAATAGTCATATTTACAAAAACAGTACTAATGACATTTCTTCCAAAGACAACATGTGCTCTATATGCTTGGGTTAATTAACCACATGATCCTAGAAATCTTATCCAAAAGCAAAATCATTAACAAAAATAAAGAATTTGTTTAAAATGAATTGTTGCCTGAAATTGAACAACCATGATTGAAAGCATGAGAATAAAAACAAAGAAATCCTCATATTCTCTTCTTTTCTCTGGTCAACTAGGTTGTGCTTGGTTCATAGATTTGGGTAGCAATTTGGAAAGGGAAAAGATGCGTGAAATGTGAATGAAATATAACTACATTTCACACACTTTTTCTCTTTTCCTTTCTAAATCCCTATCCAAATCTATGAACCAAATAGAGCCTAAAGGGGTGTGTAATGTGAATGAAATATAGCTACATTTCACACACCTTTTACACACTTTCTCTCTTTCCTTTTCCAAATCCCTAACCAAATCTATGATCCAAACATAGCCTAAGGCTCAGTTTGTTTAGAATAAAATAGGTAGAAAGTGAAAGAACGAGAAAAAAAAAAAAACTTATATGAGTTTGTTTAGCTTCAAAGTGGTAGAAAGTATAAGAAAACTAATTTTCTTGTACAACCCATCTTAGCATTGTAATTAATTTTTTATTTCTTGCTAAAAATACAAGAAAACACAAGAAAAATTGAATGTGTGAGTTATCTATAACTAAACTTTTAGATTTTTCTATATTTTTCTTACAAAATTTTCATCTTAATCAAATGCTTGTAAGAAAATATATTTTCTTTTCTTTCACTTCAGTTTCTTTTACTTTCACTTTCTGCCAAATTTTCTTTCTAATCAAACAGAGCCTAAAGAAAAATCCTCATCTTCCCTATTATGTTTAAAGACGTTTTTTCCAAAAATATTTACTCATGACAGAGAAAAATCATTTTAATAAATAATCACTCTGATAGGCCAAAGAATTACACTAATAATCCCTCTTTTCATAATTTAATATCATTGTAACAAAGCAATTTGTAGTACAATAACAAATTATAACATTAACAACCAAAAATGAAGTCAATATCACAGTATGCACTCAAAAAACAGGTTTTAGCAATTGATGAATAGTTCATTCATAACAAAACCAAACATTCAATATATATGTAAATTAAGACAAAGATGAAAAATAAACTAGATGATGCATTCTCATTAATTCAATTTACGATCTGATTCGAATTTGAAAGCTCTAATCGAAACAAAAGGCTGATATGTTGGGAGTATAAGAAAATGATATGAGAAAGAAGAATCTGAACTTACAAAGATAGAAGCGTTGAGAAAGAGACAAACAGACCTTGAATCCTCCTCCTCAGTCTGCGATGACGGCAGTGGCGGTGGCGGTGGCGCTATAGCAGAGAAACCCTGAAACTGCTGCGTACTTGGAAGAAAGAGTGAATGACTGCTGAAAGTGTGTGCATCTTCAGATCCATTAATTTAAGGGTATATAACCCGGCCCAAAAGGGTAAGTTATAGGTCCAACCCATATATCCATATGCATATGATGTCAAACAAAATAAAACACTCTAGATGGTGTGACTTATGTATCAGTAAGCCTATAATGTGTTCAGAAATGAGACAACAAATAATCTTTCAATGTAAATTAATAGAAACCATATAGAGGCATTCCTAAAACAACTCTAAATTAATCAAATCAGATTGGAAATAAAGAGCATCTATGAATAATAAACAAAAGGCCTAAAGAGCATCTATGAATAAAAAACAGAAGCCCAATTTTATAAACACAAAGAAAATAATCAGATTTTTAATTAAGAGATTATTATGTTTAAGGCAACATATTTGAAACTTATCCGAGCCAGGTTCATTAATTGAAAAAATATATATTCAAAAGTCTTTGTACAATAACTTATTTTATATTAGATAATCCATCAATACTGAATATATATTAT